TTTTTTTTTAATGAGGAGTTAGGACTATCATGATTTGGTGTACGGCCCATCAAATGCCAAAGTGATTGCTCAACTACCTAAATATAAGTGAGTGTTGGCATTTCTAAATCACTCTTACCATCACCATTGTCCCTATTAAATCATTTATGCCTAAAATACATAATTATTCACGATTTAAATAAATTAAAATGAAATCAAGTTAGGTAACAAATACAATCCAAGTAGGAAAAAATATTCAATTGGGAATATTCTTACCGTCCATTAGGGATTAATTACTTCCAAAAAAACAAATTCAATTAATTTAACACCGTTGATTATGCTGTAGCATTAAATTATGATAGTCCACGATTGATGTTGTGGGACAAGTTTGTGAACAAAATAATTTGATTAATGTGAGATGAATAATCAAAGTAGGTGTAAAATGAATAATAATAATAGTAATAATAATAGTAATAATAATAATAATAATAATAATAATAATAATAATAATACATTGAGATACAAAATTTTGTGGTTTGAGTTGAATAATAAAAAATTGAGACACTGTGTGGACATGTTTGTCGGCATATGCTAAAACTATTGTATTGTTTAAAGAAAATGTCTAAAATGAATACGTAGCAATGGATAATGAAAAATTATGATGAACGTCGTCTAATATGAGAGCGATGGTTTTTTTGTATGTATATGTTTAATGATATGGATCATAGTTTTTAAACCCGGCCCGGTAATCGACCCTGGGAAGTCTTCGGGTCACCGGGTCACCGGTTCAACCGTCGGGTCACCGGGTCAATTGCTGAACCGGATAATTAATTTTAAAATTTATAAAATTATATATAGAGTATTTTGTGATATATAAATATACATAAAAATAACAAATTTAAATATTTTGTATGTAAAATTTGTAGATTAAAGTGGTAATAATATGTATATAGTTATCATATAAATATATATACATAATTTTATTTTTTAAAAAGAAAAGAAAATTAAAAAACAAAAAAAAAATAAAAAAATACATATAGACCGGGTCAACCAGGTTGACCCAGCCGGGTCAATGCCCCGGGTCGACCGGGTCAAGGCCGGGTCGACCGAGTTTGACCGGGTCCGTTGTTGCCCGGTCCAATTAACCCATCCGGACCGGTTCCGGCTCCGGGTCGATCGGGTCCCGGGTCGACCCGCCGGGCCGGTCCGGGTCACAAAACACTGATATGGATAGCTTTTGTATGCATTCTATCTCGTGTTGTGATCCTTTGATGAGAACAATTAGCTCATATCGGTTGGAACGCGGGCTAGCCGGCCGGCAACCAAGAGAGGTAGGCGCGGAAGGAAGTGCTTCCAGTCAATTGAAGCTGAAAACACTCCCCTCACTAGAAGACCCTCGGGCCTAAATTCAGTTGAAGAACAAAAATATAAGGACATAATATATCCCTCCATATACATATATTAATTCATAACGTGCTGAGCCTAAGTAGCAGACTTACACGCTTCGGATGCTGACATGATAAAAATCAATGCTTCAAAATGTGGTTTGTATATTAATTTTTTCGCTTTGGAATTAGGCTTGGTACAACATAAATAACATTTTTCAAAGTTGGTAAGTGTAAATTTAATTTTGTTATTTTTTTTTTCTCTTAGTACAAATTTCATTTTTAATTGGGCGAGTAACAATCTTACCATATATAATTTTTTCTCGTATTTTTCTCTTAAATTAGAATTTACAAATCACTTTATGCACTGTCTCTATTCCTCTTTTTTTTTCATTAATTAGTCCTTCAAAATTTTTAAATAAATACTTTATTTTAACAATAAATTTTATAATATATATTTTTTTTAACTCAAACACTCGTTTAATACACGGATATTTCGTGTTAGAATTGGAAAAGAAGGCAACTAAAAAATGCTCATATTATATCATATGTGGGCATGAATAAAATAATGAAATGATGGAAAATCTTGGTTTTAATTCTTTTTTTCTTTATATTCCACATAGACACAGTTCCTTATTAGTTGCATACTCACTAGTGCTTTCCTCTAAGATAATAATAATTCAATCAGAAAGTGGGAATATTGGCATAAACCCAATGCCAAGGCAAAAAATGTCAAAAGTTCAAAAAGGGTCATGTAATGTAAACAAACACACAAAAGGGTCAAAAAGGACCACCAAACCTTCTCTTCAACTTTTATAAAGTTTCCCTTAATCCACTATACTACCATTGGATTAGACAAAATTCACATAATCACAACCATGCAAATGCTATGCATCTTGATGAACCATAGGATTTGGCAAATTTGAATTAGCTTGAGCCAAGAGTTGTTCCCTTTTTTCACTTCACATACATATTTACAGCAAAAACAGAAGGGCCAAGAGACCCCAAAATCACAATCCCAACAACCTTATGGTTTTCGGATCGTGTAAATTAAAGCCCTAATCAACCGACCACCACAAGAAGTGGCCACACTAACAAATTACACCTCAACAAACACGATTTGCAGATCTTGAAAATATTTTAAACAGCCCGTCAATTAATTGAGTCGGGCAATCCCCTGTTCGGGTTACATAGGCTTTCAGGGTATATATTCCTCACAGCCACTTGAACTAACCTAATCGCGGGGGCAACTCCAATATGCTTTCCCATTCCAAAAGCCTCAAACTTGCCTTGTCTCTTACTTCTGCAACAAAGAAGAAGGAAACATGATCGAGTTAGATCATGTGGTATCATATTTTTCTATCATGACCTAATTATATGGCACCAATTTTCCGGTTCCGTATTCTGTATTCAACTTTGTATTCATAAGAGATGCATTGCAAGTTATTTCAATGAATTCACATGTCATTGAAGGGATAGTGAATGGTACAAAATTCATGATTTTAAAGGCAAGCAAAAGACTACGGTTCTGAATTTTCCTATGTAACATTAATTAGGTTATGTGCATACTAATACATTGACAAGCCATCCAAGGAACACATCATATCAAGACAAGGAACCAAAGACATTCTCCAAGATATCAGTAAAAACACTCTGTAAGAAGGCCTGAGTGAGAACAATCCCCATAGAATGATGGACAAAAAGATGTCGAACAATCCTTCGGAGAAAGATAATCAATCATTTTCACTCTTAAGGCCTCCCAAGTTACCAAACAATGCAGCTAGGAAAACATATTCATATCCTGCAGCCGACATCAGATGTGATCACACTATTTCAGTGAAGGGAATTAGCTCCATTCTCCACAAACATGAGTTTCAATTAGAAATCATCTAGAGCAAGCCAGAAAGATAAGTACTGACGAAAATAATAATACTAATAATAGCATGGTAAGGACAAAAAATTAGGCATCTTAACTCACCAAAGGCAAAAGAACATCAGTCCTTGAAGATAACCTCATCAGCCATCCCCATCAAAGGGGCCAAGCAATCGGGAGAGAATTTCCTCGCGAACATGTAGGAATAACTTGAATTCGACTCCCTCAGCTTGTAAATCAGCTCGGGGGAGACTTCAGGAGGATGGTAAGTGTGTGGGTGCCCATTCACACTATCCGTCCAATTAACCCTTGTTAATGTATAATGGCTACAGCCATTCGGGTCCTGCATTGACAGCATTGTAGGGAAATAATGTTCCTCCGGATAACAAGATTCCACATTCAAACAGGGCAGCTTGAATTTTCTCCACAGCTTCCTATCCTTGATCACCATTAATGCGTGCTTTCGTGTGAGCACAAAAAACTGAGAACCCACCCGAAACTCTTCAAAGTTAACCTCGGGCAGCATCACATCTTTCCCCCGGGCATTGTACCTATCCCACAGTGTCCGCTCGTTATCCAGAATCTCAATGTAGCTGGAGAACTCCAGATTTTTCGACAACCGGCCCAGATCGAATAAGAAATTGTAGAGGTAATTGAACGAGTGGAGGGGGATACAGTGCTGGGAGATCAGGGCAAAGTAGGCGTTTGAGGGGTCGTCCAGCATGGCGGTGGCGAGGAGGCGGCGGGCGGCGGAGATGAGCGTCGGCGAGGATCTCTGCGTCCTCTTGGCGGGGATGGTTTTGCCCTTGAACACACCTTCAAAGGGGGGGATTTTCACGTAGGGATCTGCGTGGATGTAGATGTTGTAGTGCTTGCTGGTGACGTTGGAGAAGAAGCGCTCCCAGAGAGGGGCGAAGTGGAGGGGGGAGTTGGTGAGGAAGAGGAAGGCGACCTTGGGGCGGCGGAGGCCGGCGGAGAGGTGGGAGCGGGCGGAGGGGAGGCGGCTGCGGCGGGAGAAATTGGCGGAGTCCATGGCGATGGCCTTGTGGAAGAGGGAGAGGTCGTCGAGCTCGTCGGGGGCGGAGATGGAGATCTGGCGGGAGGGAAGTATGCGTGGGCCGACGAGGAAGAAGAGGATCGGCAGGGAGAGGAGGAGGATTAAGGTGGGGATCAGTGGGGAAGTCGAGATCGCGGCCATGGCTGTCGGTGGTCTCTCTCTCTCTCTCTAGATATACACTGTTATCGGTGGTTGTGGGAAGGCTTTTTCCGGGTACAATAGGGCTATTTTCAGGGGTGAGGAGGCGAATGGGGCTCCATTCCGGCGGTGGCGCGGTGGATTTGGAGGCGGTAGTTCCCGGTGATTTTGAGAAATTTTGGGAGATTTTTAGGACTGATTTTGGGAGTTTTGAGACAGAAATCTAATGAGGAAGAGAGAGTGATAAAGTGTGGCCAAGGTAAGGGATGACGGCAGCGGATAACGTGAGTTAACGCCGTTAATATATATATATATATATATATATATATATTTTCTAGAAC